CTTTGATTCAGCCGAATTTAAGGATGTCAAAGCAGCAGCGTAAGGAAAAATCCGTAAATGAATTATTAGTTATTCTCTCCTTAATATACTAATCTGTCTGTATTGGTTAAAATTAGGTAAATAATATATAGAATKTYACTTATTCAACTTAACCTAACCTATACACATGGCTGCTTTAAAAKTAAAATTAACTCTTAAATTTGGATTTTGGAATTRAAACGCGAGGGTTCTTTGTGCACTGTACAAGGTAGAATTTGCTCAGAACACGGAGTACGATCGAAGGCATATTCTGTCTGCCTCATCGTTAAAATGACCCTCGCAAGAAAAAAACATTGATTTTGATTTAGGAACATCACGTCTAGCTGCTTTGACCCATGAAACTTTACGTGCATAATCATGGGGATCGGTTGGAAAAGTGTGTTTGGAGCACTTATTGAGGCATCCTGGCACAAAACGCCACGTATTTTGTGATCCATAAATGTCACTATTTTCCATTGAACAAGATAATAATAATAATCAATGGTAATCACAATAACTTAAATAATGAAACAAAGTTGCGAAAACAACAAAATAAACACGAGACACTTTGTTGATATGACCTGCTACGTCACAATCGGGATAGGCAACCGACTATACGGGTTCGGCGTTTTTGGCGGATAATATCTGATTTGAATTTAAATTCGCTTTAAAATTGTTATGGAGACTTTTTTTGCAAAAAAAATTATACCAGTGTAATGTTTGTAATAACGACTTTCTGTATATCGACATAGATCTCTATTGCTGTGGATTTTTTTGAATTTTGGTGTGTAGTTTTGGCCATGCGAGTGTGGTAGTCGCCGCAGTGGGAGCTAAACCGGCAAAAAACAGAGACGGAGCGAGTGTGGCAATCAGCTGTTCTTTGTTACGGCATGAAACCGGCCGGCCGCCGTTGATTTTGGTATGAGAATCAGTTGTTGTTCAGCCGTTCAATTGGCGCGTTATCAACGACGGGCGCTCGCTTATAAGTATGTGTATATCCTACGATAACAAAATCATAGAATTGGTTCTTGATGTGTCCGTAGAGTGTTTCAGCCATCAGCAAGAGTCCGTTCAGAAGCGCTTGGTGCGGAGACTCTACTTCACCGATCCCATCGTCTCTTAACCAGACTCCGTGCCCCACGTTGGACTAGTGCTGGTTTTTTCGAAATTCGGCCAAAATGTCGACGGGAAAACGAATTGCGAAACGATCGATCATCGGGACACGCGTGTGTGCGCCCGGAGAGGACGGCAAGTACTATTCGGGAGTGATCCAGGCGGTGAAAACTCCGGCCTCAGTGGAAAACAACAGTAATTGCATCAACTTGACGCCGAACACGCGCTACACGGTGCGGTTCGATTCGCGTCAAGGCACCCTCGGACGCACCAGTGCCGAATTCTTCGAATCCGATCTGATCGGCCCCGGCTTCCAATCGGTTCTGGGCACTGAGCTCGTGCAGCATCAGAAATGTTTCGTCACGTTCAACGGCCGGGAAATCAGCGGCGAGGTCATGAAGCATCATCTGGAAACCGATGAAGTCATCATCAGGATCCATCCGATCGGCACCGATGTAAGTGCATTTATTCTTTCCAGCTTAGACCAAGCGCCGGCCGGTCAATCTTTACTACGTCGTTTCTGTCCGGTTTATCTCGCACACGCTTCATACGTAAACAAGCGACTCATATTTTCAGCTGAAGGACGCCACACGATGTTTACTGCGACTTGTTATTATTTCACTTGCCATTACACGGCTTCCAAGACGGTTTATTAGGCCAGAGAACCCCTGCAGGAGAATTAAAGATTCTGACCCTCCCAATTGACCAACTGCTTGCCCACTATCCTCAGTTTGAAGCTGTTGAGGTGACGAAGCGATCCAGATAAAAAACCCTCAAAAATACTCTTGAGCAGAGTAAAATTCCCACCTCCGGCCCAGTAGGTCGATGAGGGCAGACCGAGGCAAAGCTTGCCGGTGTCGAAAATGCCCATGAGATTATGCTGGAGGTCAAGCTTCAGACCCACAAAACACCAATTACCGAAATTTCCCAGAAAAAAATCCACCATAAATTGTCTAGGGTAAACCACTGCGGAAGAAATGAAGATTCTGACCCTCCCAATGGACCAACTGCTTGCCCACTATCCTCAGTTTGGAGCAATTGAGGTGACGAGACGATCCAGATCAAAAACCCTCAAAAATACTCTTGAGCAGGGTAAAATTGCCACCTCCGGCCCAGTAGGTCTATGAGGGCAGATCGAGGCAAAGCTTGCCGGTGTCGAAAATGCCCATCAGATTGAGCTGGAGGTCAAAGATTCTGACCCTCCCAATTGACCAACTGCTTGCCCACTATCCTCGGTCTGGAGCAGTTGAGGTGACGAAGCGATCCAGATAAAAAACCCTCAAAAATACTCTTGAGCAGAGTAAAATCCCCACCTCCGACCCAATAGGTCGATGAGGGCAGACCGAGGCAAAGCTTGCCGGTGTCGAAAATGCCCATGAGATTGAGCTGGAGGTCAAGCTTCACACCAACAAAACACCAATTACCGAAATTTCCCAGAAAAAATCCGCCAAAAATCTAGTTTAGATGGGAAGCACAAACAACAACATTCAGAC